AGGGCTCGAATGTCCATTCGGGGCCCTCGTCTGGACCCTCTCTGAAGTCGTCTTGGAAGCCTCTAATTAGGGCTGTCTTGGAAGCCACTTCGGACGTCTTGGAGCCCTCTGTGGGCCGTCTGGAGCTCGCTCGCGGCGTTTCGGGGCTCTCTTGGGAGCCTCTTGGGCAGTATTGGGGCGTCCTTGGAGGCGTGGGGCTCGGAGCTGCTCTACCGAGACTGCAGGGTGTGGGCACTTTCCTTCAATGTGCACTTCGGCTCTGGCTTCAGCTTCAGCTGCAACGCACTTCGAGGCGCCTTCAAGACAGCTCACCCAAGTCAGCTTTTCGAGTGCATCCCCTCCCTATCTCCATCCCCCCTCCCTCCTCCTCCTCCTCCTCCTCCTCCTCATCCTCCTCCTACTCCTCCTCATCCTCATCCTCATCGTCATCGTCATCCTCCCTCCTCCTCTTGGATGTCTCTGGACGTGTTTGGCCCTTGTGGGGCCTCCAGGGGCCTCTGAGAAGGCACCCCCTGAGGCCAGCGGGGGCCTGCTGAGACCTCCCTGCTGACCGGACCGCCTGCGCTTTTTGTTCGGCACGCCTGGAGGGCTGGCTCGAGCTCTGACCTCCGAGTGCGCCTGGACTAATGCTACAAACATGCTGCGGGCGCCAACAAGTGGCGGCACGACAGCGGGGCGCGTTCACACACGCGCGTGGGCGGCGGGGAAGCAAGTCCTATCGCTGTCGTCGCTGCTGCCAGACCGCGAAGAGGTGTCTGATAAGCTGCGGACTACTGCACCCGCGCGCCAATTTCTGTAATGATAAATAGGCATGCAACGTTGTCGACGTCAGAGTGGAGCGTGTGTGCACCTCGGGCGACATTCAAAAGCTCCTGCACATTTTATGCAGGTCATGCACTGGTGACGTCACGGCAGCAGCAGCACGGCGGGGACTCCAGCAGCCGGGATCTCCAGGACGAAAACGCGAGCGAACCACCTGCACGGACGCCAAAATGTCCCTGTCGTCTGCTTTCAGGCCCCCGTTGGAACGATCTGCGGAAACGATCGCAACAGGACACTGCCTAGCACTCGAATAAAAATACATGTGCACCGTGCCCGGTGTGTCCGGGGCGAGCTGGAAAGGTGCGCCGTGCTCAGTGTGTCTGTGCCAAGACAGGACTATCGACAGGCGCAGGAGGATGACCTCGAGAAGAACAGGGGGTAGGTGGGCCCAGCTGCACAGAGTAGCGCGGCGTGTGCGCGCTTAGTCCGCCCGAGAGCGTCGCTGAATCACAGTGGCCCTGCGGCCACGCAAATACCTCCTCCGCTGGCGGCGAAGGCCTGGTCGCCGGATCCCAGGGCGCAGACCTTGGACGCGCGCTTCTGCTCCTTCCACGTCTTCTTGCGTATCTTTTTTTCCTCCGGGGGACACAGGTGGCAGAACTTGCAGCCCGACCCGTTGGCGCAGCCGCCCTTGAAGACAAACGCGCAGGGCTTGCACTGGCCGAGGTGATGGCTCTTGGACCCCTCGGTCGGCACTGGCTGCAGCCCCGCGGCGAGCTGCGACAGGCTCTCGTGCAGCGAGATCGTCGCGGCCGTGGCCAGCGCGTCGCTGGCCCGCTCCTCAGGAAACCAAAAAGTACCGATACCGCTACTCCCCAGCCCTCTCACTGGGCGCGTTCTGACCAGAACTTCGAGGCGAACCCAGCCATGGCGACGAGGGCCTCCCAGCACAGTACAGAACACAAGCCAAGCGCCAACCCTAGGCACGGCGCATGGGCACAACTGCCGCCAGAGCTGGGTGTCCGGCAGGACGCGCGCGGCCATTCGATTGCGAAACGGACACATAACGACAGAGCGCCCGACTGTGAAGCAGAAAAGCAGAGCGCATCACGACTGTGGAGCAGAAGTCGATCCCCCGTGAACAAGGAAGAGGGAGAGGGAGAGGAGGACAAGTACGAGGGGGGAACTGAAATGGTCCGCTACCACAACTGCCATAACGTTTAGACACGCTGAGCCCATCGCAACTTTGGGCGGCCGCGCCTCCAGACCAAATGCCACTGCTTTGGCGCATTTGTCCCGGGTGCACATACTAAAGATCTGAGACAACTACTGTCTGGCAGAGATGCCTGGCAGAGAACATATTGTTGTATACGCCTGCACGTGCCACTTGCGCAACATCTCACTTAGACGATCTGCTATCGACAAGACTGTGGCGTTCGACACCCTGGAGTAGTACGAATGTTGAATCCCACACACCCTTCGGAGACAAGAAGCTTAGAAACTGTCCAATATGTCCTGGTCTGCTTGTAGTAACTATTCCGAGGGAAGTGTAGCGCCGCCACCCTTCCCTGGTTACCGCTGCCGCTACTCGACTAGGGGATCGAAGACAGAATTGATTTACACCAAAACTGATTTCCCCGCCGAATCTACGAATAATGCGAATCGTGCCCCGTAGATCTGCGAACCTTATGCGCGCTTCTTGCACTTCATTCGGCGGGCAACGCATTCCTGGAGCAAATCAAGTATGCAGTCGATCCCATGCTCGAGCTGCTGCCAATAGGTGCCGATACCGATACCGTGGCGGCATTGGTGTATCTTTTCCTCCTCTGAGCTCCGCGTCGCCAGCGCGCCCCGGCGCTGCGGCCGCCCGTGGCGCGCAGGTCGCCACGCTGGTGCTCCCGGAATCCACCGCGGACGCGCCCACGTCCGCGAAGCTGCCGCGGGTGCTGTCCAGCTCCGTGTCGGCCGTGCTGCAGGAGCTGCTGATCACTCCCGCCGCCTTCGCGGAGGGCTGCGCCAGCCTTCTTGATTGGTCGGAGGAGGGGAAGAGTGCCGATACCATCGCTCGTCCTGGAGAGTCCTCGTCGCCACGGCTGGAGTATCCTCGAGCTGCTGGTCAGGACGCAACTTGGGAGAGGTCTGGGGAGTAGCGGAATCGGCACCTTCTTGCTTCCCCGGTTGGGACGCAACTGCTACGAGACCTTCGTGGGACCGACCAAGGGCCGTCAAGCCCGATCGGGGGGCCAGACTCAGGACTGAGCTGGATGAAGCGGGATTGCGCCAGACTGAGCAGGATCAGGCTGGAGGAAGACAGTTTTCGACCACGGGTATGCCAGCGCCGATGCTGAACTTGACCTCGCAGGAGATGCAAGCCCATATAGCCGACTTCTTGACGTTTCCAATGCGGGGTCCCCCGAGGTCCCGACCCCTTCCCCAGGGTCGCCTCTGGCATCCTGGGTCGTCTTCTGACGGCCCCAGGGCCCAGCGAGGGCCACCCGAGGCCGAGAACGGCCGAAAACCTCCCGTCGTGATGTTTCGAGTGAACGTTTTCTTCTTCGGCGTCTCGACACTGGGCGGAAGGGCAGGCGGGGGAGGGGAGGGGGGTATGGCTCTGGGCCTCTGCTCAGAGCGACCGTTTGCAACAGTGCGTCCTTTGGGGGAGACCCCCCCTGCTTGAGACAGGCGCCGAAAACACAGCCAAGATCACCTCCCTGGGGGGGGGGTGCGGCGGAGGGGGTGCGAGGGCCCGCGATCGGCAGAACAGTGAATGAGGAAACGACGCGACCATGTCTGGGACCGAGCCTCGGTTCGAGGAGGAGCAGGTCCGGCATGGCGTGGGAGGCGCTCCTGGAGAGGAGCTCGCCGGGCCTGTAGCGGTCCGTGTGGCCCAGGGCTCCCGGCGGCCCCACCCTGGCGAGGGAGGGCGGAAAGGGGATTACTGTTGGGAGGCGGCGGAGCGAGGGGGGGAAGCGAGAAGGAGAAGGCTTGATCAGAAGGCGGCGGGGCTTCTTGGAAGCCCTCGCGCCTTCTGAGAGGTCTTCGGCGTCTTCGGGGAAGGCTCAGAAAGCTTCCCAGAAGGCCGGGACTGCCGAGCCTTCTGAGAAGCCCCGCCCCGTCTCACTTCCCCCCTGGGCTCGCCGCCGAGTCGGGGGCGCGCACAGGTCCGTGCGGCGTCGGGGCGCCCACAGGTTTGTGACACCGCGTCGATCGTTCAACCTTCAATCGATCGCGGCCCCGATCGTTCAAGGTTGAATTCCGTCGGATCCTATGGCGTCACCGTGCCCTCCAGTGCGTCCGCGTCGTTCTTCCATGCGGGGTTAAACCTTGAACGCCTTCGCTGGCGTCGCAGGCGCGCCATCGCCGCATGAACCTCTACCGTACTGCTGGGGGCCTGGGAGTGGGAACCAGCACCGACACGGGGGGATGCCTCCATCGAGAGAGAAAGAACAGCATGCACACAAACTTTCGGAGCTCCGCACGGATTTCTGAGATCGGCGCCTGGTCGCCCCTGGCGGCGCCTCTGGCGCCGCCCCAGATAGGGGGTCCAGAGCCGATCCAAGAAAACCGCGCGGAGCTCCGAAAATGTATGTTTACGCCGTTGTTGCTTTTTCGACCCCACCGCTGAGCCCGAATATGACCACCGTCACCGAGATCGGGGTCAGATTCCCTCGGTGGAGGTAAACGCCGATCTCGGTGCTGGTGCCTACCCCAAGGCCTCCGATAGTCACCGTGCTGCCATGAGGAAGGCTCAACAAAGCCGCGGCGAACGAACGTATTCGCCGGCCCAGATCTGAGAAGCGGCAGGAAAACCCCGGCCGCCCCTGAACCCGAGCATCTTGGCTCTCGACCGTATCTCGGCGGCGCGCAAGCGCGACCCGGGGCCAGCGTGACCTCTGGTGCGCAGCCTTCCGATCGCTGTGGTGCGATGCGGCAGCAGCGGCCTGCGTGCTCGGGCTTGGCCCACCCTCGCCCCCCCGAAGGCCGCGCACCGGAGGTCACTCTGGCGAAGGGTCGCTCCTGCGTGTGGCCGGGCCACGGCCCGAGATCGGCGATGCATCGCCAGTGCGATCGGCGGCACGGCCCCGATAGCGAGGCCGCACGCTCCATGGGCAGGGCGGTGGACATCGAGGCCCACATCGGCGGCGTGCAGACACTGGGGCAGAACGACGATATCTGTATAAAACCAATAGATATACATAGGCATATATAGAGAGAGATGTAAGTATACATACAAATCCAGGCTGACATACAAACATGCACATATGCATACATACATGCATGCATGCAAATACATACATTTATATACACATACGTACGTACGTACGTACGTACAGACAGAGAGACAGACAGACAGACAGACAGACAGACAGACAGACAGGCAGGCAGGCAGGCAGGCAGACAAACAGACAGACATGTATGCATGCATAAATTCATACACAAACACGAATCTGGATACATGCATACTTATACGCATACATACGATTCCATCCGTAACCCCATACATGTATACATACATGCATACATGTATGCATACATGCATGCATGCATACACACATGCATGCATTGCATTCCAAAACATTGCAGTATAAACAAATACAGTACAGTATACATTACATTGAATCACACGGCGTTGCATTACATTACATGCATACATACACACATACATACATACGTACATACATACATACATAAACACATGCACACATACACGCATACACACATGCACACATGTCTACAAGCATACATACATGTATACATATATACATGCATACGCACATGCATGCCCAGACAAAACCATGCCTGCAATCAACGCACGTATCAACCTAGAAACATATGTACATACATGCATGCACGCATGTATGCATACCTAGGCATACATACAGACAGACAGACATACGCACATACACACACGTATACCTACAGTTATATATATATATATACACATGCATACACACACATACATGCATGCATACACACATGCCTACACACACCTACAAACACACGTATGTGCGTACGTACGTACATAGATACATAGATGCATGCACGTATATATGTATGTAAACATACATGAATACAGAAATGCATACATACATATATGCATACATGCATACATATCTACATACATGCATACATACATGCATGCATATATACGTATATGCATACATACATGCATGTATGCATACATGTATACATACATCCATACATACACACTCTCGTATGTACGTACATACATACATCTATCCTTGTCTACTGACATACATAATTACATGCATGCATGCATGCATGCATGCGTGCACTCGTCTACACATTCACGTACACACACACACACACACACACACACACACAAAGACGCACATAGATACACGACGAAATGCATACCTACACGTACGTACATAGGTATCCCCTGCTCCTGGCCAGGCCCATGCCAGGCCACGGAGCGGTGCATGCGCCCTCCTTGCCCGGCCAGGGAGACTCGCGCACCGCCCCTGGCTCCAGGACGGGCCTGGCCGGGGGCAGTGGACACGCACAAATCTCGTCACCCCGTGCTGGGCCGCTGCTCCCTCCCCCCCTCTGGCCAGATCCCCCCCTGGCCGGTCTCGCCGCCCCCGTGGCCTGGTCTGCGCCCCGGCGTGCGTGACCACCGGCGTGGAGAAGATCCCGAGGTGGCCGCAGAAGGCGGCGCTCGCCTCCTGCGGGCGCGGCGCAGAAAAAGAGGGCCTTCCAAAGAGGGCAGGGGGCTTCCTGGAAGCCCCAGGCCACCTCGCTGCGCGCATCGCAGCCCCGCGACGCGCGGCGCGCGGCTGCCTTCGCGCCCTCGCTCCCCAGAGGCACCCACATAGGAGCAGGGCAGGAGCTCTGGCCTGACATGCGACGCGCGAAAGCGCGGCCGCCTTCGCGCCCCGGCGGGGGACCTCTGGAGAGAGGATCGGAGGCCTCCGAGGAGGCTGCTTTGGGGGCAGGAGGCCTTGCACATGGCGACGCGTAAAGTGGCCAGGGGGGAGACAGCCAAGAGTCGGGACAAGATCCAAGGTGTCCAGCATGTTCCAGCAGTTCCTGGATGCTCCTGCTCCCCTCACTCTCGAACATCTTCCCATTGATTTTTCGTAGCAAGAAACGATGTCTGTGCTCGTGCCTATGTTTCTCTTTGGGGGGTGTATGCCTAGTACACGGCCTATGTTTTTCTGGGCCGTGTACTAGGCAATGTAAGATCGGAAACACGCAATAGTGACCCTAGGCAGGAGTGACCTCTGGTGCGCAGCGACACGGGGGACGCGGGGTGGCCAAACCTGGGCGCGCAAGCCGCTGCTACCGCTTGGCGTTCAGCGATCGGGGGACCCCATTGGTCCCGCACCAAAAGGTCACTCCAGCGGAGGAGGAGGAGAAGGAGGAGGAGGAGCAGGAGCAGGAGGACGAGGAGGAGGAGGAGGAGGAGCAGGAGCAGGAGGACGAGGAGGAGGAGGTGGGGGAGGAGGAGGAAGAGGAGGAGCAGGAGGAGGAGGAGGAGCAGGAGCAGGAGGAGGAGGAGGAGGAGGTCACTCTTACGTATAGTCGATCAGAGGGCTCCTGGCCTGCGCCCATGCTGGCCGGCTCTTATCGGGCCGCGCCCAGCCCAGGGCCACGAGGGCCTCCCACGGGGCCCGACAGAAAGCGAGATCAGACGGTCAGTACTAGAGACGGATGGCAAGGACGCAAGACTTGGCTCGGGCATGTCCTCCTACAGGCGGATTGCGGAAGAAACATAAAAAATGGACAGATAACGATTTAAACTTGTCAGAAACTGTCGAAAAAACATCCCCAGACTATTTTGGGACATCTTTGACTATTCCTCCTGTAGCGGGGCATGCCCGACTTAACGCAAGACTCGTGGACACCGAAGTTGGGATTTCTTGGGCGGCGGGCGACCACTGAAAATGGCAGAGGACGAGCCGCAGAGGCAAGGACACGAAGGTACCCTGGATGAAGGCGCGCGCGTCCTCACTAGACGCGCTAACTGAACCTCCTCCCCCCTCGCTCCTCCGCGAAGACGAAGCCAAGACGAGGACAAATTCGGATGAGGATGCGCCGAGACTCCCCGAGACCTGGCGGCCCTGGAGGATGTATCGGGCGCCGCGCGGCCCTCTCGGAGCGCTCCAGAACGCTCCGAGAGCGTTCCGAAACGCTCTGAAACGGATCTGTCCTCGTCCAGGCCCCGCCCGATCTGGCGCTGCCAGACCCAGACATGCGGCGACGTCTCCACCAAAAATCACGACGGGAAGGCTTTCGCAATGTTCGGCCTCGGGGAGCCCTCGCCGCGCCGGCGGGGCCGTCGGAGGACGACTCGGGATGAGAGACCAGCCGTGGGGAAGGGGTCAAACCAGGGTGCAGCCAAGGCTGGCTGCAGAGCCTCGGCCGAGCATGAGACAACATCGTCGCCAGAGCTTGTGTTGCCTTTTCCCCCGTGGATCGACAAGGCAAAGGTGCGACTGAAACTCCCTCTGGCCTGCGAGCCGCAGCCCCTGACCCAGACCGAAGGGAAAACGAGCCTGCGATCGTCGCTCCCGGCCGCCTTCGCGTTGCCAGGGCGGCGGGCGCGTGTCAGGCCTGGAGGCTGGAAGACGGCCTCCGGGCCCCGGATCGGGGACCCTTGATATGGCAGGCGGCTCGAATTTGCTGTTGAGGCGCGGGCTCCCGGGGTATAGATCACCGGGGGCCTTGGCTACCCTAGGCCCTACCCAAGGCCCTAGGCTTCCCAAGGGTAGGCCCTACCCAAGGCCCTAGGCTTCCCAAGGGTAGGCCCTACCCAAGGCCCTAGGCTTCCCAAGGGTAGGCCCTACCCAAGGCCCTAGGCTTCCCAAGGGTAGGCCCTACCCAAGGCCCTAGGCTTCCCAAGGGTAGGCCCTACCCAAGGCCCTAGGGTAGCCCTAGGGGTGGGCCCCAGGGGTAGCCCCAGGGTAGCCCTAGGGGTAGGCCCTAGGGGTAACCCTTTATTGCGGATTACAATATGATTCCTTTGGTCGGGCGGGCGGGCGGGACATTAATAGCATTGGTTGCCTTGGTGCGGATACAATATGATTCCCTGTGTGGTGGATTATCAACTGATTATTCTTGTCGGACGGGCGGGCGGGACACTAAAGGCATTGATTGCATGTGTGGCGGGTGGCACACTGATTCTTATTGTGGCAGATTACACATTGATTCCTTTTGTCGGGCGGGCGGGCGGGACATTAAAGGCAATGATTGCTTGTGTGGCGAATTACGAATGGATTCTCTTTTATTGCGGATTACAAACTGATTCCTTTGGTCGGGCGGGCGGGCGGGACATTAAAAGCATTGGTTGCTTTGGTGGCGGATTACAAAGTGATTCCATGTGGCAGCGGGTTACAAGTTGATTACTATTGTGGCGGATTACAAGCTGAATCTTTTGGTCGGTCGGGCGGGCGGGCGGGACATTAAAGGCATTGCTTGCTTTGCTGGCGGATTACATATTGATGCCCTTTGTGGCGGAGTGGGAGTGGAAGAGGAGGAGAAGGGGGAGGAGGAGCAGGAGGGGGAGGCGGAGGGCGACGATGACGACGACGACGACGACGACGACGACGACGACGACGACGACGACGACGACGACGACGACGCTCCCGCCGCCTCCTCCGCCTCCGCCGCCACCTCCTCCTCCTCCTCATCCTCCTCCTCCTCCTCCCCCTCCTCCTCCTCCTCCTCCTCCACCTCCTCCTCCTCCCTCGCTACTCCCTCGATCCCCTGCTTCCCCCCCCCCCGCTCCCCCTTCCGAGGGCAGGGCGCCCGCGCCGCCCCCCGGCGACCGCGGCCCCGGCGCCGCAGACCCCCCCTCGCAGACCCCCCCTCTGGGACCCCCCCTCGCTGACCCCCCCTCGCAGACCCCCCCTCGACCCCCCCTGACCCCCCCTCGCTGACCCCCCCTCGCTGACCCCCCCTCGGACCCCCCCTCGCAGACCCCCCCTCTGGGACCCCCCCTCTGGGACCCCCCCTCTGGGACCCCCCTCACAGACCCCCCCTCGCTGACCCCCCCTCGCAGACCCCCCCTCGCTGACCCCCCCTCGCAGACCCCCCCTCGCAGACCCCCCTCTGGGACCCCCCCTCTGGGACCCCCCCTCGGGGACCCCCCCTTCACAGACCCCCCCTCGACCCCCCCTCTGGGACCCCCCCTCGCACACCGTCCCCCCTCGGGGATTCCCTCCCCCCTCTCGGAGACTCGGAAGACGAGGGGCCAGGAGGAGGGAGGAGGGGACAGACCTAGGGTAGCCCTAGGGTAGCCCTAGGGGTAGGCCCTAGGGTAGGCCCTAGGGTAGCCCTAGGGGTAGGCCCTAGGGGTAGCCCTAGGGTAGCCCTAGGGGTAGGCCCTAGGGGTAGCCCTAGGGTAGCCCTAGGGGTAGGCCCTAGGGGTAGCCCTAGGGTAGCCCTAGGGGTAGGCCCTAGGGGTAGCCCTAGGGTAGCCCTAGGGGTAGCCCTAGGGGTAGGCCCCCTAGGGGTAGGCCCTAGGGGTAGCCTAGGGTAGCTAGGGGTAGGCCCTAGGGGTAGGCCCTAGGGTAGCCCTAGGGGTAGGGGTAGGCCCTAGGGTAGCCCTAGGGTAGCCCTAGGGGTAGGCCCTAGGGGTAGCCCTAGGGTAGCCCTAGGGGTAGGCCCTAGGGTAGCCCTAGGGTAGCCCTAGGGGTAGGCCCTAGGGTAGCCCTAGGGTAGCCCTAGGGGTAGGCCCTAGGGGTAGCCCTAGGGTAGCCCTAGGGGTAGGCCCTAGGGTAGCCCTAGGGTAGCCCTAGGGGTAGGCCCTAGGGTAGCCCTAGGGTAGCCCTAGGGGTAGGCCCTAGGGGTAGCCCTAGGGTAGCCCTTCCTTGGGTGATCTATAAGGCTCCCGGACCTCTCAGAGACCCCTCCCGTGCCCACGGGGCCAGGAGTCTGCTCCCGAGGCTCCTTGCGGATGGCCCCAGGGGCCGGACTTTTTGTTCTAAGCCGGTGCAGGCGCCGGTCGGGCTCACGAGAGGCGAGACACGCCAGGAACGAGCTGGGGCACAAAAAGCGGAGAAGGACACAGGGAAAGTCGAACAGAGGCGGGAGCCACTCAGAACGTGAAGTCCTTGCAGGGGCCTAAACAGGCCTTCAGGCGCAAAGGAAAAAACGAACGAACCGAATCAGCCACGATAAGGGTACCATTCTTGTACGTTACTAAAGGTCTCCCCCAACGGGGTCCGAGCAAATGGGGTCGGAGGATCGCGCCGCACCGCCCATGCGTCGGCGATGCATCAGCGACACCGGCGCGGACAAGCTCGGGTTCCACATCGTGCCGCATCGCCGATGCATCGGCGGTGCGGCGCGATCCTCCGAACCCATGTACTCGGACCCCATCTTAAAGGGGCCCTGGGACACACAAATAAATACACACTAATAACAGGATTCCCCGTATTCTCCCATATTTTCTGGGATTTTGTCTTCCCCCCCCACTCCCCATAGTTTCCCACATTTTCCTTGGAATCGACGATTATTTGTGTCTGTGGGTTTTTCCTTTCCTGACATCTGGAAATACCGGCATGCCTATACGTGCTCGCGCGGGCAGAAAACTGTCGACGTCGGCGCTGCTGCTCGGAGGGGCGAGGAGCGGGGAGCGCGATAGAGATCTTGGGGGCCCCGCGGGGCCCCGGAATCTGGCCGAGGCCAGCACGCGCCCCCGAAAACGCCGACCGCGGCGCTCCCAATCTGATTTCGAGCAGCCGGCATGTCGACCAGCGCCGATGTGTATGAACGGATGTCCGCCACCGAGCTTGCAGCGGTTGGTGAGCGTTTTCTTACCCGGCGCTTCGACAGTGGGCGGTCTGGCTCTGGACCTCTGCTCAGCGCAGCTGTTTGCAACAGTGCGTTCTACGGCGGAGACTCCACCTGCTCGAAACAGGCGCCAAAAACAGCCATGATCTACTCCATAGGAGGGGCCGGGGAGGGGGGGGTGCGATGGCACGCGCCGATCGGCGAAACAATGAACAAGAAAACGATCACTTGGTATGTATGCGTGTGTGTTGGGCATTTACCTCTCTGCTATGTCGCTTCCTGCGGAGCAGCAGTTGACGCCCCCAGACGCAGCGTCAGCAACATCTTTGTTCAGCTGTTCCACCAAACCCCTGCGCTTCCCGCCTTCCGACCAAAAAGCTGCTCCGATAACGAAGGTCTGGGCAGCCAGGTCCAGGTGCGCGCCCCCTCCCCCCCGCCGCCCCCTCCAGGCGCCCACCCCATGGCACCCCAGGCGCCCCCGGTGGCGGAATCGCGCGGCAGCGCAACTGAAGCGCGCGGCAGCGCAGCTGAAGCGGCCAGGGGGGTTGCGCTGGATGAGCCACGAGATCAAAGAGGGGGGACGAAGACAAATTCGCTCAAAATCGGTCCTTGGACCCCTCCCGGGGTCGGAAACGCACCACAGTTTGAAATGCCGCCTCCCACCATGGCAATGAGAAGCCCCCAGCAGGTCCAAAAAAAAGAACGAGAAAGGCCCCCATTCCCCCCTCTGCCCCAGACCCAGGCACGCGATGTCCTGCCTTGTTTAATATGGGACCCCTGGAAGCCCCGACCCCTTCCCCAGGACCGGCTTCTCATGCCGAGTCGTTTCCTGGACGACCCGTGGGCCTGGCGAGGGCCCCCAGAGGCCGAAACCGACAAAAAACTTCCCGTCCTGATTTTGTTACGACGAGAGCATGTCTGCCAGGGGTTGCTAAAGGCTCCCCTGGCCCAAGGTGCTCCCAGCTTTCCGCTCAGTTCTGGAGCCTCTGGGGCCCCCTGGGCCTCATGAGGGGTGTGCTGGAGGCCGTGGGGGCCTCCTTGGAAATCCTGGGGGCACCTCGGGCCAGGCGCACTTCTCACAACATCCGGAGTCGGCTGCATACAAGAGTGACCCCAGGCAAGAGTGCCCCTTGGTGCGCGGAGTGGGCGCAGAATGGCAAAACCCGCACGCGCAGGCAGCCGCCATCGCGAGGCGCTCAGCGATCGTGGAAGCCCCGATGAGCCCGAACCCAGAGGTCACCCCGGCGAAGGGCCACTCTTACGCGCAGTCGACAACAACACCCGAGCGTCTGGGCAGCCAGCTCCCACGGCCGCTGGTCCTGGCCGCTCCGCGGCGGCGCGGAGAAGCGCGGCACGGACACGACGGGCCGCTGCGCACGGCCCTGGGCCGCGCGGCCAGCGCCCGCCGGGCTTGTGCCCAAGACCTCCTGCGGGGGCTGGGCGCGAACTCGCTGGGAGTCCGATAAATTTCGACGACGAACCCTCCGTGAACCAAAAGAAACACACGATGCATGAATTCTCTCGGCGGCGTCAGCCCGGGCGGAAGAGCAAGGCGAAACCACCCATGGCTGCTGGGGATAAATGAGGGGGCGGGCGAACGGAGGGGGCCGGGGGGAACAGGTGCCCCTTTCGGGCCCTGAAGGCTCCCTGTCTGGGCCCTCGAGGGGCTCTCGAGGGGCCCTTCAGGGGCCCTTTCCTCGGCAGCCCCCGGCGGCCCCCCCAGGGATCGCCCCCCCCCCCCCCCCAAGCACGCGTCCTCCGACGGGGGGAAAGCGCCGCCCCGTCCAGGGTACCCGCAAGGCTGATCTGCCCCGAGGTCCGGGCGCGGCGATTCTTCCCCCCTGGGAGGAGGAGGAGGAGGAGGAGGAGGAGGAGGAGGAGGAGGAGGAGGAGGAGGAGGAGGAGGAGGAGGAGGAGGAGGAGGGGGGGGCCTCGCCTTGCCCCAAAACCGCGCGGGATTTCGGCTCGTCATGCAAGAGGAGCCCTGAGCAAGAGTGATCTCTGGTGCGCGGCTTCAAGAGGGTGGGCGGGGGAGCCAAACCCAAGCGCGCAAGCTGCTGCTGCCGCATCGCATGCAGCGGTCGGGGGACGCCAGTGGGCACGCACAACTGGTCACTCCAGCGAAGGGTCGCTTTGCTTGCGTGCAGTCGACCGTTAAAGGCTTAACGCTCAACGACTTCTGCCGGCCCTCGGCTCGCGCTGGAGCGACCACGATTCGCTCCAAATTCGCATGGGGATCTCAGGATGTACCTGGATTTGCCTGGGCTAACTAGGATTTACGCGGATCGACCTGGGTTTGTCTGCATTTACCTTGATTTATCTGGCCTGATCCCCACCACAAGCCGAGGAGGAGGAGGAGGAGGAGGAGGAGGAGGAGGAGGAGGAGGAGGAGGAGGGGTGGGGGGCCCCGCCTTGCCCCAAAACCGCGCGGGGTTGATTTATCTGGCCTGATCCCCACCACGAGCCGACTGGCGAAAGAAGTCGTCAAGTGCGTACGACGGGCGCTGCCGCCAGGTCTCGGGCCCCAGGACCTGCACGGATCGATCCGGCTCGAGAGGAGTGCAGCAGAAGGCCGGGGGCTGGGGCTCGGGTCGCGACGTTCTCCAAACAGGCTTGCTCTTTAGGAGTTCTAACTCAAACCCTACCAATCGGTCCGTTGCCCCGCCCCTACTTCCAATGTCCCCCCCCCCCCTAATTCCTATGGCTGTGCCTATGCCTATGCCGATGCCTCCCCTGACGCAGCTGCTGGGCCGCACGGCACGGTCCAGCACGGTACAGTACAGTGGACCGGAGTGTGCGCGTGTGGAAAACAGGATCGTCCACATCGTCATCATCATCGTCATCATCACTATCATCACCCACTATCTATTTGGAGTCAACGCTCGCTGATGCTTTACGATGCTCCCATTGTTCCGCGACGTCGGATCACAGGCTGCCCGGTCGCGGCGCTCCCGATGATCCTCAGACCGTGTGCAGCTCGGCTGCACGCAGGGGTGCCCAATAGTCAAGAGTGGCCGCTGTTCGTGCGCAGCTCTGGGGGGCCGCCAGGGGCGCCAAGGGGGGGGGGTGGGGCAGACTCGAGCGCGCAGAGCGCTGCTGTCACAGCGCATTCGGCGATGGGCAGGGGGCCCGCACCAGAGGTCACTCTGGCGAAGGCTCACTCCTCCTCATTCTCCTCCTCCTCCTCCGCCTCCTCCTTGTGAGCGACGATCCAAAAGTGGTCTTACGCGAGATAGCACAGCGACCTCACGCGGTTGCTTTTACGCGTGGTGCTGATGGCGCGGGCTAACGCCAGATTGGAAAAACGAGGGCGACCTTACGCGCGACCCTACGCGGGCAGCTTGCGCGAGAATGTCGGTGCAGACGGCCCTGTTATTCAGGAGCGCCTAGAATCGACTCGATAAGTCGGATCGGCGATCGAAATGAATCGGATCGGCGGAAATCGGCAGCCGAGTCTGAAAAACTCGAATCGGCGGAAATAGGCAGGCCAGGAGGCCTCCTTGAAGAAATCGGAATCTAAATCGGAACCCGCAGTCGAATCGAACCGGAATCGGAAGCCATCGACATCGAATCGAGTCGAGTCGGAGAATTCGAAACGAGCCCTGGTCACTTTGCGTCGCTCACGTAGCCGATGTTGGAGCCCACGCGTGCACGGAATCCCCTGAATGCAACGCGGGCGGTGAGGCTGCGCGCTGGCGGCGGAGCTGAGCGGTGTAGACACACAGATCGGGCTCCGTCCAGAATATCAGCCGCGTCTTTCCCACAGCTCGGCTCCCAGGGGGGGCGCTTTCGGGACCCAGTGAGTAGCGTTTAACCAATCCCCATGCCCAGCGGCGTGGCCTGGGCCCCACTGGCCGATTTACCCCCCTAGATGGGGATATGGGCCGTTCCCTTCGGGCTTCGAAGGGTGTATCCCCAACTGGGGTGTTAATGTGATGGGGGTCTCGAAAGAGATGGAGATGGGGATGGGGATGGGTTAAACGATACCGACCCATGGCTCTCAAAGTGGATCTGGGACGAACGACTGTCCCCGGGGGAAGCGGGCGGAGGCCCTGGGGCCGCGGGGTGGGACAACAAAAAACAAAAACAAAAACAAAAAAAACGCCGCCAGATGTCTGGATGCAGCCCTGCGCCTATCTGGGCCACGTCCATCCTGGGCTCAGGCTCGAAGGTCGAGGCTCTAGGATCCTACGATTAGGTATGGCGTGTCCCCCGATAGGCAGATTTTGGACGAAAAATAAAAAGATAGCCAATAAATACCCCCCATATAAAAAGATAGTCTGCAAATCATCCCCAGACCTTTCTTTGACTGTTATTTGAACACTCCTCCTGTAGAGAGACACGTCCAACTTAATCCTACGCTTCGACCATGGACCCATTGTATACATATGTATACGCGTATACATGTACATATACATAAACATATACATAAACATATACATATACATATACATATACATATACATATACATATACATATACATATACATATACATATACATATACATATACATGCACATGTACATATACATATACATATACATATACATATACATATACATCTACATATACATATACATATACATATACATATACATATACACATACATATACATATGCATATACATATACAGATGCACATAACATATACATACACATACAAATACATACATATATTTATATACGCCTATACTGCACATATATATACACATATGCAAATACAAATACCTCTATTTATATATAAATATTATATATATATATGCATAACCATTTACACATATATATACATATACATGTCCATATACACCTACATATACATAGCCATATCTATAGATGCCCCCATCGAATACCCATACATATACATTTGTATATACATGATATGCATATACATGTACATATGCATATGCATATACGTTTGCAGGTACATGTGCATAGACTTAGACATATACGTATACGTATACTTATGCATGTGCATATTCATATATATATATACACTTATGCATGTGAATATATATATATATGTTCAAGTACATGTATACGTGTGTGCATATACACACATGTATACATACACGTGTGTATGCATATGCCGATACATGTCTATATATATATGTGCGTATACATATACAACAACATCGCCATACGCATAAACATGAATATGTATACATGTGCATAGACGCAGATATATGCACATACACATATTTATATACATATACATACACCTCTACATATGCACGTACATGCACATGTACAATTACACATACAAATGCATATACATATACATATGCATATCTACATATACTTCCACATTTACTCCCACACGCGTATGTACATATACATTTGCATATGCATATACATCTACACCTAAATAAACATGAACCTATACATATACATAGACCTGCACCTATACATATACATATACATATACTAATGCATATATGAACATATATATATATGTGTGTGTGCTTATAACTTAACAAAAAACTAGGGTCTGGGTATACGCCTTCCTATTTCGGCAGGGACGGCGTACCGAGCTTGGGTCAGGACAATCACGGCCCAGACCAGTGTTAGACGTATGTTCGGCCCCCCCGATTCCTGATGGAAGGCCCGAGGCTGGATGATGAAGGTGCCTGGAGGCCCCTGCATCCTCTCCAAATGGCAAGCGGGCTTCCTTGGGCGCACCAGGAAAGGAGGAGAAGCGCTTCCGTCGCGAAGATGTCTTGCGAGCCTGCAAGATGCCCAGCTTGAGCCCAAAGGGCTGCGGAGGGAGAGGCGAGAGCAGAAGAACGAGTGCCTCAAGCAAAAATGGAGTGGCACTGCTGAGCATTGTCTACGCAACCGACCCCTATCCCCATGGGCGTGGACCGGGCCCCACTGGCCGAGTTACCCCCCCCAGATGGGGTTGTTGGCTGTTTCCTTCGGGCTTCGATGGGTATATCCCAAACTGGAGCGCTGAGATGGTAGGGGTCTGGATGGGGATGGGGATGCGGATCGGGGTCCGTTAATCGATACTGAACTCACATGTCCCCCCCCACCACCACAGCACACCACACAGCGCAGTGGCATGCACGTGAGCCCAACGGGGGGTAGATTTCTAATTTTGCAGGTCGCGAACTATCGCATTGCAGGAGCACGCGCTTGATCGCTCAAGCTGTGCCAGAAGCCACGACCCGACCCAGGGACAGACGAGGGAGACGTTGCCATGTAAAGCACCCCTGGGACCAGTTAAACAGGGCAGTGCATGGCTGGACGTAACAAGGGTAGGAAAAAAATTGCCAGCCCAACCTGCCAGAGGCGTGCTAAGATCCCGGGCAACTGGTTAACAGTTGTTCTAGTTCGCGCGCGCGGCGCGGCCCCTGGGGGTCCCCGGACCCAAAATACCCTGGGAGCAACCTGGGAGCAGCCCGGCAGACCCCCCCAGAGCGCTCCAGGAGCGCTCCAAGAGGGCCCACAAAGGCCCCGAAGACGGTCCAAGAGGGCTCCGAGTCACCGAACGACCGGCCCAAGACTCCCAAGGAGGCATCGAAGAGACCTTCCAAGAAAGCACATAAAAGTAAAAATTAGTGATTTGCCTTAGGTTTTGGAAGGATTTGGGCATTCTCGTCTTTTCGGCTTCCTGGCGCACCAAGAGGGCCCTAGGAGGCCCCAAGATCGCCCCGACACGGCCATCGAAGTCCCCAACATCGCCCCAAAACGAGCCCAGAGGGCCCCAAGACAGACCCGAAGGCCTCCAAGATGCCCCTAGAGGGGCCCCTGACGGGGGACCCGAACGGACGTTTCGAGCCTGTAGGCCCCGAGATGCCCCCAAGAGGCCTCAAGGGACCCCCAAGAAGCCCCCGAGAGGCCCCAGGAGACCCGCAAGAGGCCCCAGAAATATCGCCAAGGGGCCCCAGAGAGGCCCCCCGAAACACCCCAAGACGCCTGGTCTGAATGAAATGCGGTAGGCGTCCTTTGGCCTTGCCGCATGCTCCCCGGGCTTTGCCCAGGGCACGCTGGGTCAACCTGCTCAGAGGCCGGCGTGGCAGTGCAGCGCTGCCGGCCGGCGCCCTGCCTGAGCCTCAGCCCGAAGACCACCCACCCACCCCGGAAGAAGAGGGGGCGCCAACCAGGCCGCCGCCGCCGCCGCCCGAGCGGGGGGGAGGGAAGGGGAGCGAGGGGGCCACCCTCCGCCGATGCCACCACGTTGGCCGCGGACGCCGGCACCGCGCCGTCAGCCTGGGGGTCAACGACGCTCTATCTGGGTGGGGGGGCCAGGGCCCCCCATGCACAAAGGACACCATCGGGACACCGTCGTGACGGGACACCAAATCGACGCCCCCAGGACCCCGCACCCCGCCGGCCAGGAGGCCACGGGGGGAGGGGGAGGAAAAAGACGCCACTTCCGCGGAAACCGCGTCTCCACCGGGTGCCGCCTGCGCGGCTTGCGCGGTCTCTTCCACCAGCCTCCGCCGAAGGGACCCGCCGTCCCCCGCCACCTCTTCCCACGCGGACGCTTCCGCCAGCCACCGCCGCGGGGCACCGGGGCCCCTCGTTCCGCTGCGTTGCAGTGTGTCCATGACCTGGAGAGCCAGCTGTGCCGCGGCGATTTGCAACTGGACCCACCGTCGCCGGCTGGGGTGCGCCTGGTGAGTGACCCAAGCGGACTTGGCCGTGACCCGGGGCTGCGCTCCCCACCACCCCTGGGGGACTGCCAGCGGCCCTTCCTCAAGAGCCCTCCTGGCGGGGAGGACCCGCGGGCAGTCCGCCCAGAAGTGGCGGGCAGAAGCCCGGTCGAACCCGCACCAGGGGCACGCCTGCAAGCCGCCTCCCAAAGAGGCGTTCCTCCACGACCAAGCTTGGCCGCACAACGGCCCAAAAAGCTATCGAGAGGCCTCCTGCTCCTCCTCCTCCTCCTCATCCTCCTCCTCCTCCTCCTCCTCCTCCTCCTCTTCCTCCTCCTCATCCGCATCCTCATCCTCATCCTCACCCTGATCCTCATCCTCATCCTCGTCCTCATCCTCATCCTCATCCTCATCCTCATCCTCATCCTCATCCTCATCCCCATCCTTCCCTCCTCATCCTTCCCTCCTCCTCCTCACCCTCCTCCTCACCCTCCTCCTCATCGTCCTCCTCCTCATCCTCTCCTCTCCCTTTCATCCTCCATTCCTCCTTCTTTCATCCTCCTTTCCTCCTCCTCCTCCTCCTCCTCCTCCTCCTCCTCCTCCTCATCATCATCATCATCATCATCATCATCATCATCATCATCATCATCATCAGCAGCAGCAGCAGCATCAGCGTCATCAACATCATCATCATCATCATCATCATCATCATCATCATCATCATCATCATCATCATCATCATCATCATCATCATCGTCTTCATCATCATCAACGTCATCATCATCATCATCATCAGAATAGTCATCATCAGCAGCAGCATCAGCATCATCATCATCGGCAGCATCATCAGCATCAGCATCATCATCATCATCATCGTCATCGTCATCATCATCAGCATCATCATCATCATCATCTTCATCATCATCATCATCATCATCATCATCATCATCATCGGCAGCAGCAGCATCATCATCATCATCACTCGCCACGAGCACGCCAACGCGTAGTTCCGGTGATGCAGTATGGGCTCGGGGACCATGACACAACGGGCTGCGGGTCGGAAGACCCGCCCCCGAAGAGGTCGAGACGTTTGGGGGCCCGCGCATTAAAAAAGACCACGGCGTCTGCAGGGGGATCTGCAGGGGCTCCGCCTCGTCCTCGCCCCCGTTCTCCTGCTCATCCTACTGATCCTCAGCCCCCTCCTCCTCCTCCACCTCCTCCTCCTCCTCTTCCTCCTCCTCCTCCTCCTCCTCCTCCTCCGCCCCCCCTCCTCATCCTCCCCATCCTCCTCCGCCTCCTCCTCCTCCTCCTCCTCCTCCTCCTCCTCCTTCTCATCATCCTCCTCATCTCCCTCCTCTCCCCTTCTCTCTCCTCCTCCTCCTCCTCCTCTTCCCTCCGCTTCCCTTCATCCATCCCCCCAGATTTCTGGCTTGTCCAGGCAATCAGGGTAGACTGACCACACAAACACACACACACACACACACACATCTGGGAACACAATGCGGAAGGAAAGAAGGAGCTGAGAAACAAGAAAGTGTTCCTTCGCGCCCATGTCCGCAACGACAAAAGACATCAGGACAAGAAGAGAGCCAATGTTCGCATTGAACGCCTGCCACCCTCCGACACGAGGGTTCCAACATCGCATAACAAAAAGTTTCCTCCCCCGCCTCATATGCCCCCCGCAGGAGCATCCACGGGCAACACATCCCCACGAAGGCACAAGAGGCCCCCCAAGACAGCACAACATAGAAGCCCTGTGGAAAACAACGATTCCTCCAACAACTCCCCAGGTCCAAGCGAATCAACACGAAGATGATCCGCGAGCGCTGCCTCAACCCCAACATTTCGAACGCAACGCCTCAAAAGCAGCCGCCGCCCCCTGCAGCTCCGCACTGCCGACGACCACTCGGCCAGTCGACCGCGGTCCGCAATGTGGGCTGGCGGAATGAGCGAAACGATTAAATCAGAGATCAGGGGAGGGATTCGTATGATGACTCCACCGCCTGCGCCAGACGCGTTCGGCGCAAGCATGGCTGCCCCGAGGAAGCCTCGTCCAGTCCTGGGCCAGACCCGGGGCAGGCTGCGAGGCATCCTCTGCACTCAGAAGGGGAAGGGGGGAGGGCGGAGGGCGGAGGGCAGAGGGAGGGCGGAGGGAAGCGGCAGGTGGCAAATGGCAAGTGTGCCCGTCTCCGAAGAGGCCCGATGCACTGGCGCGCGGACGGGAGCTAAGGCGCTTCAGCGCAGTCGCAGAATCGGACGACGAACGCAAAAACACGACAGGACAACAGGACAACGGGACGACGACGACGACGACGACAACGACGACGACGACAACGGCGACGACGACGAGGACGACGACCAAAATTCAGTCACAAATGCAGCACCACAAACCGCAAGAACACACACAGGAGCGATAAACAAAATGGGGGCTGAAGGAAAATGGAGTCGGGCCCACCGAACAGGACGACAGGCCGAGCTGGGATGCGCGTCATGCCCCGAGGCATGCTCGCGCCCGAGAGGAGGCCAGGGAACGTATTGAAACAAGAAGACTTGGCCATGATATCTGGGGGATATCATGGCATCGGCCATGAGAACCACACATACACACAAACACACACACACACACACACACACACACACGCACACACAGACACACACACACACACACACACGGCTTAGCTGCCCCGATACGCAACACGCAAAACGTAACTTATCGATACGGAGCTCAACACGTAAACTGAACACGTAAATATGACGCGATACGTTCGCCAAAATGTGGGCCAGTACGCTGAGCCAACACGCAACGTATTGACACGGACGTTTTGAACACGGTACGTTTTGCGTTCAAAACGGGTGTATCAAGGCAGCGAAGGCACCCTGTCCTTACCCCCATCCCACACGCCCCCGAGAGGAGGCCGGAGAGCGCAGGGAGAGGGGAAGGAGAGGAGGCCGAGCGCGCAGCCTGACGGGGGCCCCTAGTGTCCCGGGGGCCCCTAGTGTCCCGGGTGATCTCGGGCACACCACAGAACCCCGCCTGAGAGGCTCGCGCGGAATGCACCTCAAAAAGACAACGCCGTGAGCGCGGGGCTTCCGCGCCCCGCGGCACGGCGAGGAGGAACGAACGAACGAACGCCACTGCAGCGAAGGCTGTCCCAACAACGGGGACGGGCGCGTAGCGTCGCAGCGATCACCGCGCATTCTCGAAGGAACCTGCTTGCGAGGAGGAGAAGGGGGGAGGAAGCTCTGCTGCCTGAAATCGCCTGCTTCTCGAGCGAGCTATCGGGATCGCAGCCGCACCGCAGGCTTCGGCCGCCCGCGACCCGCGGGCGGAACTCGGCGTGCCCCGCGGGACCGCGCCCTGCAGCTTCTAACCTTGAGCCGAAGGAGGAGGAGGAGGAGGAGGAGGAGGAGGAGGAGGAAGAGGAGGAAGAGGAGGAGGAGGAGGAGTCATGGAATCATGGATCCGGGAAGTGCGCGGTGCACACCGCACGCAAGCTGGCCGCAATGGCAGGCTACCCGCACCCCCGGCCTCCAGTTTACGAGGGGAAGCAGGCCCGAAGGCGCGCGCACCGACGAACAGGGGATAGGCAGCTGCCTCGTCGTCCAGCGACTTGCCTCCAGCCGAGAGGGCGCGGTGCGTAGGGGGACAGTCGGCTCACCTCGCCACTGCGAGGTACTTCCCGAGTATCGAGCCCTGCCCAACCAGATGGCATGCGCAACTGGGTCTGTTCCCCAGGGTGAGCGGGCACAAGGCCACCATGAGACGTACGGGCAACACGGCCCCGCCGAGGAGGAGAGGGAGGAGGAGGAAAAAGAGGAGGAGGAGGAGGAGGAGGAGGAGGAGGAGGATGAGGAGGAGGGGGGTAGAGGAGTGCCCTGGCGGTCAGCATCGAACAATCGAATCGGACCGAAACGACATGCGTGCCAGATCCAGCAGCATCGAAGGTCGTGTTCATGCTGGTATCTGCTCCTCTGTTCTTACAAGACCGAACTCTGGCCCTTGCCCAGTTTGCGAGCCGCACAAAGTGGCCGAACTGCTTCTGCATCCCCATGCACCCAGCCCCAGCGTGGCGGAGGCAGAAAATGTTCGATCGCTCCCAGTCACACATGAGCGCGCTGTTCGTCCTCCTTCTGCTTTCCACTTCCCCCCTCTTCCTCCTCAGCCCATCCCATTCATCCATCAGTTCCCAGTCATCCCATCCTCATCCTCGTCCTCCTCATCCTCCTCCTTCTCTTTCATCCTCCTCATCCTCCTGCTCCTCCTACTCCTCCTCCTCATCATCATCATAATCATCCTCGTCATCATCAGCATCAGCATCATCATCATCAGCATCATCACATCATCACCACCACCACCATCACCCTCATCCTGATCGTCTTCATCACCATTGCCATCACCATCACCATCATCATCACCATCATCATCATCAGCCGCAGCAGCAGCATCATCCGAGTCATCAACAACAGCAGTGTCATCATCACCATCATCAGTATCAGCAGCATGATCGTAAGTATCATCAGCATCAGCAGCAGCATCATCAGCCGCATCGTCAGATTCAGCATCATCATCAGCATCAGCATCAGCATCAGCAGTATCATCATCGTTATCATCATCATCATCATCAGCATCAGCATCAGCATCATCATCGTCATCAGCATCATCGTCATCGTCATCGTCATCATGATACACGTCACCACCAGCGTAAGCATCATCGGCATCGTCGTCAGCATCACCAACAGCATCGCCATCATCAACAGCAACGACCACAACAATAACGCCATCAGCATCATCAGTATCAGCATCATCATCACCACCATCATCATCATCAGTAGCAGCATCGGCATCGTCATCATCGTCATCGTCATCGTCATCGTCATCGTCATCAGCACCATCAGAGGCATCATCATCATCATCACCATCGGCGTCATCATCATCATCACCATCGTCATCATCACCACCATCTGCATCAACATCATCATCACCATCACCAGCATCATCATCATCTTCACCATACTCAGCATCATCATCATCATTATCAGCATCAGCATCATCATCATCATCATCATCATCATCAGCATCGTCATCGTCATCATCATCATCATCATCATCATCATCATCATCATCATCATCATCATCATCATCATCCATATTATCATTATATTGCTTATCCCCCACTCCTCTTCTTCCTCCTCTTTCTCCTCCTCCTCCTCCTCTTGCCTCCTGCTTCTCCTCCTCGTTCTCCTCCTCCTCCTCCTCATCCTCCTCCACCTCCTCCTCCTGCTTCCTCCTGCTTCGTCATCCGTAGTACTTATCAACATCATCCCTCCTCCCCCGTCCTATCTTGCCTCGAATGCGTCTCCTCCATGCCCTGCACGTCTCGGCGGAGGGCGAGTTGAGACAACGGCAGCTCAAAAGCGGTCTTCGGGGCCCACCAAGGTCCCAACGCACCAGTTTTCCGAGCTGCGTCCAGCCGTGGCGACGAGGGGGCCCACCGAAGGCCAACTGCTCATCGGTCGGAAGAAGTAGGTAGAAACATGAAATAGGAATCCGTTCAAAATAGATTGGGTTTCCGCCCGCACCTCAAGGAGGACGGAAAAGGTGAAGCCACTCGATAATTGAAGTAGGAAGGCGCTTAAAGTAGATCGGAATCTGGGACTCCAAGAGTACCGACTTTCAACGACCGAGGGGTACCGTTGTCTGAACTCGCCCTCCCCTGGCGTGCATCGTCGCCCTCGGGCGGCCTCATTCCGACGACACGGAGCCAGGCGGAAGGGCAGCTCCGCGGCGTGGCCTGCGAGTCCCAGTGGATCCAGTCCCGCAGCGGCGTCCCAGAGATCTGAAACTCCGGGTTCTGCGAGACCCGCGTCTCCCCCGCTGTGGGAGGTGCCCAGATCCCTGGAGGAGGACGACGACGACAACGAGGGCGAGGACGAAGAAGAGGAAGAAGAAGGAAGAATTAAAACGAGGAAGAAGAAGAAGAAGAGGGAGAAGAGGAAGAAGACGAAGAAGAGGATGAGGACCAAGGAAGAAGAAGGAATAATGAAACTGCATCAGTCGAAACTTTGGGAGGTCCGCGCTGAGTTCGTGGATCTGCGCTGCATCTCCAGGCGCCGCCAGAGGGGCCCAGTGCCGATCTAACACATCCGCGCTAAGAGCTCCGAAGGCTTGTGCTTATGCCGTCTGCTATTCGGAGCCCATGAGGAGGAGGGGGAGCAGGGGGAGGAAGAGCAGGAGAAAGGAGAAGAAGAAGAATAGACAAGCGCGTTCCACCACTCATAAACTAGCTACTCGCAAATGGCCTGGATCCGCCGCAGGGGATTTACGAAATATTACACAAAGTCAGGCGTATGGCTTTTCGGACGTGCTTAGGCACTCTGCGAGTAGTGGAACGCGCTCGGCGAAAGAAGAGGACGAAGAGGACGAGGAAGAAGGAGGAGAAGAAGGAGGAGACGAGGAGGCCGAAGGGCTGCGCCTCGAAACGAAGGGCTGCGTCTCGAAAAAGGCCCTGCTGCCCGCACGGCTTCGGGGCGTCGACGAGCGGCCCCGGCGGGCTGCGCCGCCGGACGGCCCCGCGGCCCCGCAGCCTCGAGGGGGCTCTCCCTAGGCCGTCCGGCCTCTCTTCTGGGCGGCAGGCCCGGGCTCGGCAGCTCAAGCGGAGACGACGACGACGACGACGACGACGACGACGACGACGACGACGACAGCGGCGGCGGCGGCGACAGCGTATTGATACGGAGCTCACCACGTGGACTGAAAACGTGGGTCTGTCGCGACACGTTCGCCAAAGCGTGGGCCAACACGAGGAGCCGACACGCAACGTGTCGACACAGGCGCTTCGAACACGGTGCATGTTGCAATTCGGAGAGGGCGCATCGGGGCAGCTACGAGGCGGAGACTGCACACTCCGGAGTGCGCGCGCCGAGCGAATCGGCCACAAAGAGCCGCGGCCGCATCTGGCGCGGAGGACGGGGGGGGAGGGGGGGGGCCTGCTGTAGAGGGCGAAGAGCAGTGGGAAGCACATAGACATACTAGTACTACATGTTCTCTTTGGAGGCGCGCGTCCGACCCGAACATATAGTACACCCAGCTTGTAGTAGATCGTTTCCCGAGCGAGCGGTGTGGCCAGAAAGCGCCCGCCACAACGCATATGCTATGAGATTTATCGATGCGCGCGTCGCCCCTGGGGGAGGGGGGGGACGCACATGTAGTATTAGTATGCTGGGGTAAAGCCGAAGCAGGGGGAGCGTGCCCGAGCTGGCCCCTGCCTCCAGACCGCTCACCTCCAGCGGAAAGACCTTTGCCGACCTGTGGGACCCAGAGCCCTCGACCCCCCTCTCCTCCTCCTCCTCCTCCTCCCTCCTCCTCCTCCTCCTCCTCATCCTCTGCCCCTGTTCCCCTCCTCCCTCCTCCGCCTCCTCCCCCCTCGACCTCAGCTTTCCTCTCCTCCCTCATCATCATCATCATAATCATCATCATCACCACCACCACCACCACCACCATCCTCATCATTCAATCATCACCAGTCATCTCATCACAGCCATCAGCATCAGCATCCGCATCATCAGCAGCAGGCCTCATCCACCATCACCACCACTACCAACAACACCCCACCACCACCACCACCACCACCCATCATCATCATCATCATCATCATCATCATCATCATCATCATCATCATCATCATCATCATCATCATCATCATCATCATCATCATCATCATCATCATCATCATCATCATCCAGCTTCTCCTCCTCCTCCTTCTCCTACTCCTCCTCCTCATCCTCCTCCTCCTCCAGCTTCTCCTCCTCCTCCTCCTCCAGCTTCTCCAGCTTCTCCTCTTCCTCCTCCTGCTCCTCCTCCTCCCCGTCCTTCTCCTCTTCCTCCTCCTCCTCCTCCTCCTCCTCCGCCGCCTCCTGACTGGCCCTTCCTCCCTTCTCATCCCTCCCTTCCCCTCCTCCCTCCCCCCCCTCCCCTCCGCCTCCTTCCTCCTCTCCCCTCTCCCTCTCGTCCAGCTCCTCCTCCTCCTCCTCCTTCCTGTACGCCTCCTCCTCCTCCTCCTCCTCCTCCAATCAGCAGCATCATCATCATCATCATTTCATTATCATGCATCATCATCATTCATCACATCATCATCATCAGCCATCCGCCAGTCAGCATCATCAACTATTCATCCTCATCATCATCATCATCATCATCATCGTATCGTCATCATCCTCATCCCTGTCCTCATCATCCCTCATCCTATCCTCATCCTCATCATCATCCTCATCATCGTATCATCATCATCATCCATATCGCATCTCATCATCATCATCATCATCATCTTCATCATCGTCACCATCACCCTCTCATCATCATCATCCATCATCATCATC